CGCCCAGCCTGCTGTCCCGGCGCCCAGAGCCTCTCGCCCAGAGCGCTCGTACCAGTCCCCGGCGACCCCGCCCCTTCTGCTTTGGCGTCGCCATCGATGTGCTCTGCGCTCTCCTGAGCCTGCCCCAGAAGTGGGCGGGCCTGTTTGCCTCAGGTGGTCTAACAGGCGCCGGGAAGGGCCAATGGCGTGGTGGCACAGCTCCGCCCCTTCCTCCCGATTGGTCGGCGCCGGAAGGCCGCGGCCAGAGCCTCGGGGCCGAAGCAGGAGCGGGACTCCTCCTCGGTCGCCGCTCCGCGCGCTCTCAGCTCTCCGGTTCTGTCCGCTCCTGCCCGGTCCGTCGCCGCCGCCATGGCCCAGTGAGTGACGGCTCGCGGACCGCCGGGGAACTTTACGGGGGCCAGCGAGGAGGGCGGAACCTGCCTGAAGTCGCTTTGGCCCCGGGGGTCGCCGGAGCACGGCCTCGTGGCGCCCGGAGCCTCGGACTTTCAGGGTTTCAGCCCCCTCGGGCCCGGGCCCTCTACCCCTCGCGGCGGCGCCGGGCGGATCCCCCTTTCTAGAAAGGGCCGGGCGGGAGGGAACCCGCATGGCCGAGGGCAGCCAGGGCCCGAGCCAGGAGGGGAAGAGGCTGGACAGTGGGCGGCTGTGCCTGCAGGGGCTTCTCCCCCGTGTGGGAGCGGGGACACCGGCAGTGAGCACGGCAAAGATTGCATGCCCTCCTGCGTGCAGGTCTAGTTGATCTCAAGAGAACTTGAGGTGCTTTGAAGTGGCAGAGGGCAGGGTGGCCTGGAGGCGCATGCCTGGGTTCTCAGGGGTAGAAGAGAGGAGGGGGACAGAGGAAATGGTAAGGCAAGGTATTCATAGCAAAAGCTAGGACACTCTGGGCCCCTGAGTTGGAAGGGATTAAAGTGGAACCGACACATTTTTCTTTGTTCCTTTTCCCGGTCTTTTAGAGCTGATATTGCACTGATTGGACTGGCTGTCATGGGCCAGAACTTAATTTTGAACATGAATGACCATGGCTTCGTGGTAAGTCAGGAGGGCACACTCTTGTGGGTTCTTGGTGCACGGAGGCTGATTTCAAAGATCCTGTACAATCTGGAACTTAGGTCTCTTCGTATATGCCCTGTTGCTGCTTAGAACGTTTATTGCAAAGGGAAAGAGAAGCACCAGGTCACATGCGGTGTGGGAGGGCCAGCTCTGCAATCCTCTGAAGGACAGTCTTGCAAAATAGATGTCAGTTCTGTAAGCCTGGATAAACTTACCGGATGTTAAGCAGGAGAAATCCGGCTGGGTGTATAGAACTCTACCTTTATTGCCCAATGAGAACCGGGGGAGAGAAAAGTTTAAATAGTTATAAACACTAAAGTGGTTTCGGTACAAAAGATAGCAGTTTGCAGCAGCCGGTTCCTAGACTTGATTGAGTCTCTATCAGCTAGTGACAGACTCTAGCCTGATTTACCTCGGGCAGTCACCCTTTGCTTATATTCAGTTCCGTGCCTTGGGGTTCACTTAATCCAGGGTCTGAAGGTCTTCTGTGTCCTGAATCTCCTAATCAGACCTTTTCGGCCTTCTAGGTTTGTGCTTTTAATAGGACGGTCTCCAAAGTGGACGATTTCTTGGCCAACGAGGCAAAGGGAACCAAGGTGGTCGGAGCACGCTCCTTGGAGGAGATGGTCTCCAAGCTGAAGAAACCGCGGCGCGTCATACTGCTGGTGAAGGCTGGCCAAGCCGTTGATGATTTCATTGAAAAACTGGTGAGGCCAGCCCTGCCCCCCAGCTGCTACTAGCGGGGCAACTGTCTCTTCCCGTAGCTAGATCTCGCTTTTCTACTTAAGAGATTTTTTTTTTTCTTTTTCAATTTCTGGATATGAACTGCTCAGTTCAAACAAAACTGTGTCCATGTCTCAGTGTTCGTCAACCGGGCACTAATTTAAGTAACAGCACATCCTCAGGTGGTAATGATTCCTTAGGCATGAGATTCTGAGGCCACCGAGAGACGAGAGACGTTGCCGTAAGAATCCATTAACAATGGGGACAGAAACCGTAGTCTTGGTCTCTGCCTTTGGTATTCAGAAACACAGTTTTGGTCGTGGTGTTATGCGTGTTTAGTGCTATTCGCTAATAAACCTTAGTGTCTGAAATTTAGAAGTCGGTTTCCCATTTTTCTCGACACTTAAAGTGTTGTATTGCTTCATATAAACGATGAGGTCCCCTTAGGGAATCCTGGGAACTACATACTGGGTACTTATTTCTCAATGATTTGTTGGCTCTAGCAAGTGTATCTTTTTTGCAAGAAAAAAAAAAATGTGTTAGGGCTGGAATGGCCGTGCTGGGGCAGATGGGTGACCCGATGCCAAGTGTCCCAGAGAGGGCCTCTGGGAGGCAGGCCTCTGTTACACTTCTGGCTCTGATTATCAGCCAAGGAGGGAGTGTTTTGTGTAGGTGCTAACCCTTGTTCTGTAACAATTATAGTCTGATCCCTTTAGACTTTCCCCTGCTGTGCGTCATCAGGGGATGGTGGGTCTGTCCCCTCACAGAAGGGCTGATGGCCACCCACCCGCTGGGATGACTGTGGGAGAGGAGGAGCTGATGGGGACAACAGCCTTTTCCCCTGGGAGTGTGCCCGGCAGCATTTGGTTGAGGCACTGTAGCTGTGAGCTGTTTCTGGGGCACCTCTGGGGCCCCTTCCCTCAACATACCTCACCGACAATCCACGGAGACAAGCTCACGGCCAGTGCCCTGCAGCCTCGGGGTGCTATTTCCTCCAACGACGAAACGCAAAGCCACACGCAGCATATGGACGAAGGGGCACCCGTGGAAATAACTTATGAAGCTACTCCTAAACAGTTCTACGGTAACAGGTTCTCGGGTTCTGAAAAAACCCCGAGGCATTAGCTGTCTGGAAGAAACGTTTCTCGGTGAGAAATGTAGTGCCAGGAAACAAAGGCAAGGGATGAACGTTCCTTTTCTCCGGGAGCATATTGTTAACAGTGGGGGCGTCTCCACGGGGAGAGGGGTTTGGAACCAGCGTGCTACCACGAAAGACAAAAATGACCTAGAAAGGAAGAACACTGCGATAAGGGAAGGACATAACAAGCTTTTTGTGTAGCAAGACGCTAGGCTGGTCACGATTAGTGACAGAACGGATTGGAAAGTGGTAGCTTATCCTTCAACGTAAGAAAATACGAAGTGAGGTTCACTGAAGCCCCGTGGGTGTGGGGGGGTGCGGACCGAATGATAAATGACCAAGCCAGCCCAGTTGCGCTCTGTAGGAAGATGTGGTAGTTCGAGGCCCGGTCTCCTCCCGCCGTCTCCATACGGGGCTGATCATCTCACTCAGGCACCAAACCACCTGATGTCTGTTCACTGGACCCCCACTCTGCCCTGTGCAGAGATTTTATAGGACGTGATGTAATCCTTCAGAACGAGTCCTGTTGCCAGTGTTTGGGAATGTAAACGAGCTAGGGGCATGCACTGGAAATACAAAATCTTTCAAGTAGGTTTTGGTTGTTGTCAAATTAAAAAAAATTTTTTTAACGTTTATTTATTTTTGAGACAGAGAGAGACAGAGCATGAATGGGGGAGGGGCAGACACAGAATTGGAAGCAGGCTCCAGGCTCTGAGCTGTCAGCACAGAGCCCGACGTGGGGCTCGAATTCACGGACTGTGAGATCATGACCTGAGCCGAAGTCAGATGCCCAACCGACTGAGCCACCCAGGCGCCCCTATTTCTCTTTTTTTTTTTAATGTTTTTATTTCTTTTTCACACAGAGAGAGACAGAGCATGAGCAGGGGAGGGGCAGAAAGAGAGAGACACACAGAATCCGCAGCAGGCCCCAGGTTCTGAGCCATCGGCCCAGAGCCCGACGCGGGGCTCGAACTCACGGACCGTGAGAGCGTGACCTGAGCTGAAGTCGGACACTTAACCGACTGAGCCACCCAGGCGCCCCTGGTTGTTGTCAAATTTTAAAGAGAACTATCTTAGTTGTGGGGAGGTCTGACTGGGTTGCTAGCCCTAACCTTTCGTGTAGGATCCAGCCGTAGCCGCGGAGAGGATTTTTGAAAATGAAACAACATACGCTTTTAGACTGGATTTATTTGGGATAAATTCTTGTTTGTATTAATTGCTCGAGGTACATTCTGTTTTTGTCTTTCATTTCTTTGGCTCACCTTAATGCTAGTGTCTGGTTACAGGTACCATTGTTGGACACTGGTGACATCATCATTGATGGAGGAAATTCTGAATACAGGGATACCACAGTAAGTATTCTCCAGTCTAAATTCTTCCTGGTTCTGGGAACATTCTAGAAAAAAGTATCAGCACTGTACATGTGATAAAAGCATGGACTGTCCTTCTGTAGTGCTGACTCTGGGGCTTGGTGCTGACGTTGCAGTTCTTGGCCTTTGTTTCTGCTAAGACATACCTGATGGAATGAGGCCTCCTCCGTCATACATATAACTCAAAAGGATGACTTTTGCTTGGATACAGCAGGCTGAGAGTTCGTGCTTAGCTCTTTCCTTCTGTGCCACCAGCCCATGGTATGTCAGTCGGTGTGCAATGTGGTTGAGAACCACGTCCTTTTTTTTTTAATGTTTTATTTGAGAGAGATAGCAGGGAAGGGGCAGGGAGAGAGGGGGACAAGAGGATTTGAAGCCGGCTTTGCACTGAGAGCAGTGAGCCCGATTCGGGACTTGAACCCATGAAACGCGAGATCATCACCTGAGTAGAAGTTGGATGCTCAACCAACCGAGTCACCCAGGTGCCCCGAGAACCACGTCTTTACTGGCCTCATATGCTAGAAGGAGTCTCTGGAGGATCTGAAGTGCTGAGTCGGGGAAGTCGTATTTGTATTAAACTCTTTTGTATCATTTTTTAAAGTGTTTTATTTGAGAGAGAGAGAGAGAAAGAGAGAGAGAGAGAGTGTGTGTGAGT